TTTCCCCCTCATTCTGCGTTACATTACCTCCATTCAGTGGTCAGCCCGGTTTCAGCCTGCTGTTGCCCCAGGCGACTTGGATGCTGTTTTGCCATGAACTTAAATCGCCTTGACTCGAACACTGAGAAAATCCGGAGTGGCAGGCAAATGCAGAAAGGACCAAATTTACAAATGCCTACAGGAATGCATTTTCAGAGCCTGGCCCCTCAGGATCGCATCTCTTCCCTGAAGGGCTTAACTACATTGGAGCTTCCCTGCCCGGGTGATGTGTGTGTACTTTATATATCGTTGAGTGCATGTGCACAAAAGCACACTTTGCAATAAGATCAAGGTGGAATTCTGTAAACGGGTTTCCTAGTTTTAGACAGGGCCTCGAAAAAACCCTACCTTGCCATTTGTGCTGTGCTGAAAAAACTCAAAGGGTGTTGGGTCTTTCTTGAGCAGAACTACATTCCAGGGGCAAATGTGTATTTCCCAGACATATGCTTGCCATTTAACATGAATGGGTGTTTGTGTGTGTGGGTTATTTGCAAGGGAAAATCAGCAGGCAGAGTAAATGTGCTTTACTCCCGTTCTTCTGTGCAAATGGCCCCCTGGGTGGTTTTACTTCACCACCAAGCATCTTCTGATCTTGGAGCTTGGCGGGGGTAAATGAATTTAAAAATGAAAACAAGAAATTGGGCAGAAGGGAATCGTTTGCAAAGGAACAGCAGCAGCTGGTGGATGAATTAATCCCATCCAATGATTCTCTTCTGAGAATCCCTCCTTTACAGAGAAGGGGGAAGCTTGCAAACCTTGAGTTTTTCTTTTCACTTGTAGTTTCAACCCTCAGAGCCACAAGGGTAATGCTAAGTCACTTTTGCAGAGTGGCGTGACTTGAGCCGTAGGTGCCTGCCGCCTTCCATAGCCAGCATTTTGTCCTTTTACTAAAATGGACTAAGTGCTCGGCTCCTTAGACAGCTAATAAACTGGGAAGTTGCCCAAAGGTGTGATCAAATATAACTTAACTAGGAACTTAACTAGAGAGTTGCCAAAGAGTTCAGGGCCCTTAAGCCAAGGGGGAGAGGCAAGAAAATATACAATTGGCAAACTGCTCTCTTTACCCTAGTATTGATCTCTAAGCACTTCTGAAACACCAGCAAAGATAAAAACAGGAAACATCACTAAACACTTTTTCTCTTTCCTTCCAAACCCTGTCCTTTGTAAATCATCATTTAATTTTTTTTTTGCTTATCTGTTCTGTGGGGGGGAAAGTCAATGGGAAAAAGAATGACCAAGACAGCTCTTAGCAACACTCCTCAGCCTATGAGTAAACAAAGCAACTGCTTACCCTTCCCTTTGCTGTCAAATGCCTTGCAGATTAGATTGTGCTCAGTACATGATTAATGGCAGTGGCAGTGATTATAGCAGCAGTGGCTGCAGTATATTAAGATAAATGCTTGAGTACTGCAAATGAGTAAAAAACCCGCCGACTGGTAAGACCAAACATTAGATGAGTAAATCTGAAATGCATGCCAGTGCCTTATCAGTGCATGCCAATACACTACAAGAGACTAGAGTGCTGTGAGAAATAAATGCAATAAAACTCCCACAACCCTCAAGAATCCAGAGGATCTCTGATCCACAGCACTGGCTGTGTCTCCTCCACGCCATCCCATACAGGAGGTAGGTGAGTTGGCTGCCTCTCTGCATCATGTTTGGATCAATCATTCCCAAAGAAGACTGGTTCCGCAGGGCATACAAGATGGAATTCTTCCTGCAAGCCTTTAGTTAATCCGTTTGTTTTCAGCTGCAATTGGGTTGCCAATGTTCCCTCTAAGCTGTGGAGTCTTGTGAGCAAAAATTCTACTTTGTGAGCTACTGGCATTCAAGTTGTGAGCGAGCCGTTTGGCTACTGCATAAATTAGTTTGCCATCCTTCCTGAGCCAAGACAAAAATGTGTGAGCCAGATGCTAATAAACTGTGAGCTAGCTCACACTAACTCAGCTTACAGGGAACATGATTTCCAATGTTTCTTCAGAAAGATTTGCTTTTAGAATAAAAGCTACCTGCCTTCATAGGAGCTCACAACTTGTGTTCCTGCATGAGTACTGTTCTGGGTTAAAAGAGTAACACGGCTACCCATCTTGATCAAATAACATTTGTAACCTTCACTAGTGTTAATGACAATAAAGTGTTTATAGTAATGCCATATTTTAAGGCTGTGCACGTTAACCTCATCCTCTTAAGCAGTGTAATGATCCAGAAACTTATTTTTAATGCTGCTTTTTGTTTATTCCATTTTATATTCTTTTAAAAGGAGGCTTGCTACTGTGTTAGTTCACTGAGAACTGGGACATTCTTTGTATATTTCTAGGCATTATTTGCTTTCTGTTTTATTTATTAAAAGTATATTTTATCCAAAGGTGGGATTCAGTGTATTCAAATATTCACTGCATGGGGAAAAAAGAATCTTACAGATAACCATTTCCCTTATTTTAGATGCCAATTATATATGTCCTAATTTATTTATTTTATTTAATTCATTATACTGCACCATTCTCCCCAATGGGGACCCAGAGGAGCTTACATCATTCTCTTCTCCATTTTATCCTCACAACACCTCTGTGAGGTAAATTAAGCTGAGACAGTGCGACTGGCCCTAAGTCCCCCAAATAAGCATCCATGGCAAAAGTAGGGATTCGAAACTGGTCTTCCAGATGTTAGTCTGACACACTTTACTACTACTCCACACTGACTCTCTCACCATTCTTCTGATCTGGAAGTGAAGACACACCCAGTGTGCAGATCTCTCATTAGATTTTGTGGAAAGGGATACAGCAAGGGGAAAAGAACCCTTTGGGTGCCAAACAGATATTAGCTGGCAAGATGAGGTCCAAGTGCATCCTCTTCCCCATAGCCTGACAATACTATCACCTGTTAAGAGGAAGCAGGGGAGAGGTTCCTTGGTCCAATTTGCTTAGAAGAACTTCTGAGAGGTGTTGCTACATTTGGTATATGGTTTGCGTTTGGTTTTAACACAAAAGATACATGACTAAGTTAGCGTCTGTTCTGCTTGATATGGGGTTTCCACGAGGATTTCAGCCAAGACACGAGGACCTGCAGCACATCAAGACTGCAGTTTCTCACGTTTCTGATTCTGCACCACAGCATATAGATAAGAGTTAGTATTTTGACCAGTGGGTGCATGGCTCACTGCAGAAAGTCTGTTATGGTAAGTGCACTGGAGAAGACTGTATGATTATTGCTCCTGATAAAATGAAGCCAGGGCTGTTCTAGCAGTCGCAGAAGAAGAAATGAAATCAAGAATGGCTCAGTTCCAAAATGTAGGCCAACAGTGTGGGTGTTGAATGGTTGGGGTGGGAAGGAAAAAACTTCCACTAAATTCTACAGAAAAGGAAAAAAACTTCCACTAAATACTACAGAAAACGTCCTTTCTTCTTTCATAATTTGGATACCAGTGAATTGGGGTACTGCTTTATATACACAAACATTCAAGCAGGGGACCCACAAGGACATGCATAGGGCACCTTATTTCCCCCTCCCCACATTTTCCTTTCGTGAAAGTCCTTATAACATTTCTCCTGGGAGAGCATTCCTTTTTTTTTATGTTTAATTTTCAGATTTTTTTTTTTTTTTGCAAACCTAGGGCTTTTCTCAGATTTCTGGAAAGAAATGCATTATCTGTCCATTTCTCCATTCTCCAGATTTAAGCATCCACAGATAGGGCCATGTTGAGAATTAGATATACTGATAAATTCTATGGTGGAATGCAGTAACACTTCCATTCTCCTGCTGCTACATAAGTCACATTACTAGGAAAAGAAATACTTAATTTTGTTCCACAAATAGGGGAATAACAGGCATGAAGGTGTTTCAAGAAGACATGAGGCCCACAAAAAAGATATCGCACACAATTTCTGCAAGGAACCTGTATTTATAAACCAACTTGGGTGATTCTGCTCTGTCTTGTGAATGAGGAAAGTTCTGTGAATCATATTTAAGGCACAAATTTCAAAGGAGCAGTACAGAACTTAAATATACCAAACACAGATATTTACAATCGATAAATGTAAGACAGGTACTTCAAAGGTCACATGGACAACAACAGAAAAAACAAACAAATATATAGACAGATTCTTTCTACATAGCCCTTTCATGCCTAACCCCTGCTTGGATTGCAAAACCCAACCCTGATTCCCACTGTTTAATATAGGGCTGTTACACAATTGAAGAAACCTTACTTGATTAATTGCATGATTATTTAATAGACTATGGCAGCATCCTTCCCTGGGAGAAAGTCCTATTGAACTCAGTGGCATTTATTTCTGAGCAGACCTGCTTAAGATTGTTCCCTAAAAGTAAAGCAATTGTTCTGGGGGCAAAAAGGTCTTTCTTTTTAGATGTTGCCCACATACGTTTCCTTGGGCTCCATCTTGGAAGAATTATGTCCTCCTGCATAGGAGAGGAAGGGAATACCTCTTCTAAGGGGGCACCTGCCATCCACACCAAAACTACTGTCGAATTAAAGGGCAATTCTGTAGTCACATAACTGACTGGATCAAATCTACTAAAATCTTTTAATTGCCTGAACATTGCAGCCTTTCTGATGTAGTAAATTGACCAGGGTGTGACTTCTGTCTGCATACTTCTGAATCTGATGAGATTGCATATAAAACTATGTTTGCATTATATTTGATGGGCTGCAAAAGTCAATCTCAGGCTCATGTGCCCCCACCCCTCAGGTATAAAAAGGTTAGTGAGCACTGGGGGCTTAAGACCCCACTTTGTCTACTGTTTGGTGTAGTGGTTAAGTGCACGGACTCTAATCTGGGAGACTCGGGTTTGATTCCCCACTCCTCCAATGGATGACCTTGGGTAAGCCATAATTCTGGCACAGCTGTTCTTGAAAAAGAGCAGTCCCTGTCAGAGTTCTCTCAGCCCCACCTACCTCACAGGGTGTCTGTTGGGGGGAGGGAGAAAGGAGTTTGTAAGCCGCTCTGAGACACCTTTGGGTAGTGAAGGGCGGGGTATAAATCCAATCTCTTCTTCTTCTTCTACTGTAAATACCCTTGTACATGCCACCTGCACAAAAACGCCAAAACGTGGTGTGTGGTGCTGCTGAATGGGGATGAACACACATGTAAGCCAAGCTTCTGTGAACCTTCTCAAGATGCATCATGTGTTGAATGCCCAGAGTGCTAATTCATAAAACTAGATGCTCATACTCATGAACGGTTGAACGGTTGTTTTATATGAGTTTTTATGAGCTAAATCAGAAGAGCCCTCTTAGGATCTCTGCAGTGCTACCGTTTGCTAATGAAGACTCCCTCCTGAATGGCTGAGCTCGAGCTTTTACTCCAGTAGATTTCAAAGCATGGACTCTCAGGGGCTACATAGCAGTAGCAGTGGATAGAGACCACACTGTTAGCACAGAAAATATCTAATGGCTTTGGTAAAGGGTAACAGGAGCTGCCGATATCTAACTTCATGCTGCCCAAAACGACCAGCAGTAGTTCCCCAAGGTCTCCAGCAGAGATTTTCTTTCCCAGGTGTGTTACCTGAGAGTTAGGGTTACCAACTTGGAGCTGGGAACTTTCTCAAGATTAGGGGGTGGAAAGAGGGGAAAGACCTCAGCGGGATATAATGCCATATAGTCCACCCTCCAAAGCAGTTATTTTCTCCAGGGTAACTGATCTCTGTAACGTGGAGAATGGTTGTGATTCTGACAGATCCCCAGGCCCCACCTGGAGGATGACAACCCTATTGACAGCCCTTAACTGGACTGGCAAGGGATTGAACCTGTGACTTTAAACATGCAAATGTGTGTGTCAGAGGACTGCAGATGCAAAACTCAAGTCACATGTCCTGTCTATTTTAAAACATACTTCCTGGCAGGCAGCAACCAACTTCAGACGGATATATACTTAAATAAATTAAAATATGATACAAGTAGCATTTTCCATTGGGGGAAAAACAGTAAATGTATGTACTTCTTTGCTACCACTGTTCTGCACTCCTACTAGAAATGAGCAGCTTATGTCCATCTTACATGGAAGAAACATGCAGACTCTTGGAGCTTCTTACAGAGCTTATTTTACCCATTATTCATGTTCTGGAGCCACAGGGTCTGTCTTCCACATGAAATATTTGCACAAAGATGCAAGCAAGCTATAAAACCTGAGATGTTTACTTGCATTTATCTAATGCGCCCAACTGTGTGATGACATCTGGAAGGGTATTATCAGCTACCACCATCACTGGGTAAGGAATAGGGCGACGGAGCCCAGTTCTGCACGGCATAACCCAGATCTGCCACCCCCCAGTGCTTGTCCTAGGACAAAGACACACACAGGAACTCTCTCATACACACAGAGGGTCCCAAGTCCAACTCTGTGGGAGAGGGAAGAACTGGGCCAGACTATTTCCTATAGTGATGATTGCTAGCATTGCAAACAGAGCAAAGGCCCTGTAAAGTCAGCAGCCATTCCTAGGAAAAGCCCGACCAGCAGGTCTGAGAAAACACCTGGACCCAGCATGATAATGTAGATAGTTTTGCTATTTTTCTACTTATGCTACAAGAACTGGGGGCACAAAGGCAAGTTTTGCAGACGTAAAAGGTTGGGAATTCGTGCTTTCGAGTCAGAAAATGCCACTTTCCATTGTGATCTGACCCGTGTGTGTGTGTGTAAATCTGCATAAGTCTAAGTCAAAACAAAAAACCCCTCCTGTCTCAGAAAACCTACCCTGCCACACAGTCCTGCGTACAGCTGCTACCCATCTGTAAAGTTCTTCAAAGGTTTGTCTCCTGAAGGTGCACATCACACCAACAACGTGCCCAAAGGAGGGCTTCTCCCATGGCCCTCCCATAATGTCATGTAGATAGCAGCTCTTTTTCTTGCATCAGTGAAGGAACACCTGTTCCCCCCATGCATAATCACTTCCAGAACATAACAGCAAAATCATAACTTATTAAATAAATCTCCCAACCACTACACTCCATATTACCTTGAAGAAAGAGCAGGTGGCCTCATAATGAACAAATGGATGACTCTCTCCTTCACAAAGTGTTTTAGCATATGAAATAAATATTCCTGTTTTTCTATGTTCCCTAAGTCACATTTCATATAAGATTGTCAGGATCAGCAGAGTTCTTTTCCTATAACCGACTACGATCCTTGCGAGGCCGCTTGGCATGAGTTCACTCAAATGGGTTGCTGATTAACCCAAGAAAGACGTAGGCAGGTAGTCAAAAGGCACCTTCGATTCCACATAAGGCCCAAGGATATATTTTTTTTGCTACACCTGAGTAAAGCATCATTTGCTTAGACTGAGGAGAGGAATCCATCAGCTCCTCAAAGGGTCCCAATGGGGCTAGTGCGTGAGGATGCAGACCCAAGCTACATCAGAGAATTTGGTCCAAAGGCATGATGAATTTCAGAATGTTTCTGTTCAAGTATCTCAAAAAAAAGAAAAAAAAAGGGAGAAGCTGCATCATTATATAAATAACTTGTACCAGATATAACGAGGGGACCTTCCCCTTACAACACACGATGACAGGTGCTCCAGTTCCTCTGACTCTGTCGACTGGATCTCTGAAGTCCTCCTGGTCATAGAAGATCCACCCTCCAATTATCCTGAGGGCCCTCCAGGGCACCGTGTGTCACTGATCCCAGGCCAAGAACATCAAGGTTTGGGGAATTCTCCTAAGTCGTTGGAAATCATTACTTTTGCACTGCTGCTTTTGCATTTTTGTTTAAAATAAGTAAAACCTGATAAGGCCACTGAAGGATCCTTTAGGTGGTGGGGGGGAAAGGTCTGTGTTGTGCGTCCTTTCCCTTTGCAAACTGCTGGTGAGAAAAGGCATTGCTTACTTTCAAAAGCCACTCTCTGGACTGTATGTGCTCATACAGGCTCATAGTCTTCTGATTCCCCCCACCCCTTCCTAGAGAAGAGCTCCCCGTTCCATGGCTTTGTCTTCTTTTTTCATGACACATCCATGTGTAAACAGCTGAACTTGTAGGTTGATTTCCATTGGGGAGAAGGGGAATGTCCGCTTGGGTGATATGCCTGTATAAAGTGCATGCTGAGGTTCAGGAGTGCAAAAGCTGTCACTTCTTCAGCTGGCGCCGGTTCCACATGCCTCGCTTGGAGTGGAAGTGATGGAAGAAGTTCCTGAGGGAAAGTCGCTCCACCTCCAGGCCGGCCTGAAAGATCCTGAGAGAGGAAAGGGAGATTTCGACACATTAAGTACAATACAACTGCTCAGAACCTAGACCTGTTTTTAAGGTGCTTTCAGGATGAGAGACGTCTCACAGATGTGAATTCTCTCCTTATGGGGCTGCGGTAAAAGAGAAATGCTGCCTGGGCCAAATCTCTCACTTCCACACCAGCCTGGGATCTCACCGCAAGCAACACCTAAAACTGGGTCTCGCAATTCCCTGTCATTCAAATGTAAAACTGTCACTGGTCCCAATGCACAGTTGATGATAGAAGAGAAGATTGGATTTATACCCCGCCCTTCACTCGGAGTTTCAGAGCAGCTTACAAACTCCTTCCCCTTCCCCTTCCCACAACAGACACCCTGTGAGGTAGGTGGGGCTGAGGGAGCTCTTTTGAGCACTGCCCTTTCAAGGACAGTTCTGACAGAACTACGGCTTGCCCAAGGTCATCCAGTAGGTGCAAGTGGGAGAGTGGGGAATCAAACCCAGTTCTCCCAGATTAGAGTCCACGCACTTAACCACTACACCAAACTGGCTCTCTCACCAAATCTGGACCTCTTTGGCTTTCTGTCCTATACTAACAATATGCTCTGGTCTAAAAATCTACTATGATTGGCTCCACAGGATACTGAGAACCACAGTTATAAAGCCATATGTGCATGCAATAATTTATATAGGTTTCTCCCCCCCCCCATTTATATTTTCAGTCTCTCAGGCCACTGTTGATGAAGAATATGACTCTTTCTTCTCCCATCTATTTGCACAACTCAGCATATTGTTTTATTGTCTTCTTGGGTCCCACAGCACTGCCACCAAAGCTTTTAACCAAAAAGCATCAAATAATTAAGAATTATATTTGAACTGCATTCTAATAGAGTCCTAAATGATCTTTGAGGGTATGTAAGTAGTGTTCTCTTAGCCCCACCAACCTCACAGGGTGTTGCGGGGAGAGGAAAGGAAGGCGATTGGAAGCCGCTCCAAGACTCCTTCAGGTAGTGAAGAGCGGGGTATAAAACTAAGTCTTCACCCCACTCCTTTCCTTTTGCCATTACACTTACACTATAACACTAAATTATAAAGGCTGATTTAATGAAATTCAAGACAATATTTATTTGTACAAACTAAGAATACTAATTAAATAACAAAAGGGCTCTCTGTTACCAATAAGAAAAAACTGCTTGCATTCCTTTCCCTCATGTTTTCACTCTGCTTCCCAGAAGCCCAATGTTAACTGAACTACCCCCAAAACAACTCCAACTATCTCCTCCCCCCGATCCCAGCATTACCCAATCAGCTTTCACTTCTGACACCTGACGCCAGTCCCCTCATTACTAAACAAAAGTCTATTTCTACCTGATAATAAACTGTCAAGGAAAAATGGGTTATCACATCACTGGCAAATAACACCTCCAAGTACTCACCCAATCGCACCACACAGCCACACCCTTTCCCTGACAAACATACAATACAAACCTAATACGTCACAGTATGTATCTGTGGGATTCTTCCCACAGTTGTGTGGTTAAGGGTCAGCACGGTTGGCCCTGCTCATAGGGTGGTGAACCCTTAAACATTATGGCAGTGCTATGGGATGAACCCACAGAAAAAAAGACCCTGAGGAGGACACTGTTGCAGAGTTAACAAAAGCATGGTAACTGCAATGATATGCATGTGTAGATGGGTTCAGAATTCAGCTTAATTATATAGTGATGAGGTAGTAAAGCAAAGCCATGTGAATAAAATACTAAAGATTCATTGCCCATTTATGAGAGGGCTGTTTTAAAAAACCCCACAACGCCTAAGGGTAACGGTTCTGAATGCGAAGCCCTTGATAGTCCAAACAAGCCCTGTCTTCTTACAGGTCCATTTGGGTTAATCTGGATCTGAACTACTGAGACTGGTCACAGAGACAGCCTCAGGCGCACACTGACCTGTCCAGGAGTTCCCAGTCCTCTCCTCCCCATCGCTCCCGGAACTCTTTGGTGTTCATGCCTCCAATACGAACCAGATCAGACTTGTATATCCCTAGGAGACCAAAGCCATTCACCTCCCAGTAGCCTGTGGAGACAAATCCCCAAAGCGTTAATTGTGACTGCGTTCATGATGACTAACAAGTAACACCGTACCACCTAATTGCTTACAGAGATTTGTGCACCTGATTAATTGGCAAAAGAACCAAAGAAAACATCTCCCCTTGGAAAAATCCCCAACCCAGCAGCACTGCGTCTGCGTCACTACTGCTCTCTGCTGGGAAATGATATGATGAGAGGAGAGGGCAAGGCAATGTATGGCTCTGAGGTCCTTAGAAGGCGGGCAGTGCAGAAATATCATTGATATGACAGACAGAGTGGGTCAGTTGCGAAAAGAAATACACATCTGGCCTCCTAATCCCAACCCCACAGAACAGAGCAGTCCTTAAAAACAGAGAAGTTTTCCATATCTGCTATACTGAATATCTTCCTTGCTCCCCCTAATGCAAGAAATTGCTATTTCAATAGTCTCCACTAGAAGTTTGTGCTCGGTATATACCAAGCTGAATAAATACCAAAAAAATACCTTAAACTTTAAATGCCTTCCCTTCCCTCTCGGAGTCACAGTGGTACGACTCCGGGAGGGAAGGGAAGGCATTTAAACTTTAAATCACTTCACTCACAGAGTTGCCAAATAGTTATCCAAATACCAGTAAAATAGTAACACTGGTATTTGGGAATATTCAGGAATACCAACAGAGCAGTCCTTAAAAACAGAGAAGTTTTCCATATCTGCTATACTGAATATCTTCCTTGCTCCCCCTAATGCAAGAAATTGCTATTTCAATAGTCTCCACTAGAAGTTTGTGCTCGGTATATACCAAGCTGAATAAAACAAACAAACAAAAAAAAACCTTAAACTTTAAATGCCTTCCCTTCCCTCTCGGAGTCACAGTGGTACGACTCCGGGAGGGAAGGGAAGGCATTTAAACTTTAAATCACTTCACTCACAGAGTTGCCAAATAGTTATCCAAATACCAGTAAAATACTAACAGTGGTATTTGGGAATATTCAGGAATACCAGTATTTTTTGGCTCCAGTAGACCTGAATTAGAAAAAAACCTGAAAATTTTTTTGCACACCCTTAGTCTCCACAATGGGGGGGGGGGCATGGTGGCTCAGAGGATTAAGAGATGAGCTGCAGACCAGAAGGTCGGTAGTTCAGCAGTTCGAGACCCGAGTGCCGCGTGACGGAGTGAGCTCCCGTCTCTGGTTCCAGCTCCTGCCAACCTAGCAGTTTGAAAGCAAGAAATTCCAAGTAGATAAATAAATACCGCCTCAGTGGGAAGGTAACAGCGTTCCATTTGCCTCGGCATTTAGTCATGCCAGCCACATGATCACAGAAAAGTCTTCGGACAGCGCTGGCTCTTTGGCTTGGAAATGGAGATGAGCACTGCTCCCTGGAGTCGGATTCGACTGGCTTTTGAGCAAGGGAAACCTTTACCTTTACTAGCCTCCACAGTGCAAAGGACTTCATTCCACCTGTTCAGTTATTGTTGTAGACCTGCAAAATTCTGCAGCCCAGTGCTCAGATACCATTGACAAATTCGGGGAGAAAACACAGCCCAGGGAAAACTCTTTCCATGACTCCTTACCATCAGGCCGTTGTGGGGATGCACCACACTGTAGCCTCATAACCATGGGTGCAAAGGCCATTTTCCCCTCCACACAGTGCTTCCGAATTGAGTCGATGATCCCTGCCGGGAAATGGATGTGGAGGTCACACAGGAAAATGATGCTATGTGAATCCTGTAAGCAGAGACACACACTCTTATTCACAGCACGTCATACTGAAGGGGAGCATGCATAAGAGTAATTATGGACTCTGCCATATAGCCTGAAAGGAGGAGCTGGACACAGAATGATAAAATCTGGAGACACGATGCACAACATTCCAACTCCTCAAAGACTGGATTATCTACTTTTAAGATGTGCCTGTCAGACAGCTGCCCAGTTTTCCCTTGAATGCTTACAATAAAAGATTATCTCTACTGGCAACTCCTTCCAACTTGCGTAAATTAGGAAGTTTAACCCAAACGTTTTATCTAAATCTACCATGTCTGTATTATATTTTTATTTTATTTTATTTTTGGGATACTCAGAACTAGTTTGCCTCCTCCTGTCACCGACCCCAACATCCCATCTAAAAATCTCAGAAAAGCTAGCATATCCCTTCTACTCCCCACTTGATTCTATACAGTATTAGCCACTTGTGGCCGCTCTCTGTGGACTGGGGCCACATGGAGGCTAAAGAGATTTTTCTGCTTACTTGGGGCACTGGCCAGGTTTGCAAAAATATTTGAAAATAGAAAACAGGAGAAAAAAAATGCACAGGGCAGTTAAATTGCCCCCAAATAAAAAAGTCCTCAGCACCTTCCCCAAGACAGCAAGCCCCCATGTGCACCTGCT